AGCTGAGTGAAAGTCACTTGTCCCTCGGAAGCTTCGGCCAGGTCAGTGGCCGGACGTCCAAATGGTGTCATGGGTGCGGACTGCTGGCTTTTGAAAGCCACATCTGGAAACGCCTCCTTAGCCGCCGCTGCTGGTGCAGAAGTGAAGGGGACTGGAACCTCGGGGCACAGGGAGGCTCTGGCGAGGCCTTCAGCTTTAATGACAAGCTCTTCGTCTGAAAGAGAGGATGGGAGTCACACCTGTCCACAACTGGTCTCCCAGCAACTCTCCTGCACCCCTGCCCCGCTACAGCAGACTGCTCTGAGCTCTTAACCGGCTCAGATAAGAAAGTCAGTGTAGGGCTGAGATAATAATCAGACTGCCTGTAGCCCCCGTGGCCAATCATCAGAGAAGTTACTACTGAACCTCTTCAACGCTCCCTGTTTGGAAAAGGAAAAACCCTGGCATCGCTCTTCCCAGAATTACTTTCATTATGTTTCGCCTCTGCTCACAAACATTGAAATATTTTCTGCAGCCTATTGTGACGAGGCCTAAAATCATGTATTTATCTAATCCTATTCCTCTTTATTCTGCCAGATAAGGCCTTCACTGTGGTTATCTGTTGCTTTACTTTCCTGGAAAATAAAGTTCACATTTCTGCTTATACATCTTTGCCTATTATGCCCTCCCTTTTGTAGATGGCATCCCCTCTCTTCTCATCTCCCCAAATTATACCCAGCCACATCATACCAATTTTCTGAGGCCCATTCTAGTTTCACATCCTTCTTTAGGCCTTACCTAAATACCTAGACTTAAACCGACGTAATGTCCCCCAAACATTTCTTGTATGTAAGTCATACATCCCACTCACCCTTGGCAATAATAGGCATGCCTCATATCAATATGTCCCCAATATCAATTTCTTGAAAAGCAGAAACTCTTATTTTTTTAAAAAATTTTAAGAGCATAGACGATAAATAGGTTACATTAAGTTACATAAACAATCGTGTCTCTTCTGACCTTAAGATTCTCTTCTGTTCAAGATGGCAAAATACAGATGATGCTAAATATCTCAGAAGATGCGTGTTTCTTCTCCCCTGGTTGTTTTCCTGAGGGAGAGCTCTTCATTAGCTCCCCCATTCGGCCTCTCCAATGACACTGTGGTCTCCAGGGCTTGTCTTTCCCACCCCATCTTTGTTCCATCCTCTCTATGTGATCTTCAAATGTTCTTCTGTCTTTCCCCATCCTCATACTTTTGGTCCATCTGTATGCACTTATTTTTTCTTCCTCTGACAATTTTAATTTGTCTTTACACTTAAGTGTTTTCTCACTTAAAATTTATATTAGTTTGATTTCTGTTTCACTTCTAACTTACTTGAGCATGTCTTTTTCCCCCCTTTTCCTTATGCCTCAGCCACTTCCTTGCTTCCACAATCCCACTTCCTCTGCCGTTTCTTCTCGGTGGTCCTGGCATAAGCTGGGTCTGTGCGGCTCGGTACTCACCAGGATAGGTGCCTTTGCACATGTCACTCTCCTTGGGCTCCTGTGGGGCGCCAACCTGGGTCTCTTCCTCTTGTTTAATCCAAGACAAAATATCCGATGTCGAAATGCTGGGCTCTATTTGTGGGGGAAGAGAATGATCTTCAGGGCTTGACTCAGAAAGTGGAAATAATCATGCTGATTTGCTGAATACTATGTTTTGCCCAAATATTTATCTCTAATTAACTATAACAACAAAACCAAACCAGCCTTTAAAAAACAATAAATATAACGTCTAAGAACCAGGTCAAAGTGAAACCAAATTTACGAATTTTTACATGATATACTCGGTTTGATTCATGATTTTCAGTGAGCCCATTTCAAAAAAAATCAAAATTTCTATTTTGGAGATGACACCCTGAAATAATCTAGAATCAAAAAGTACCTGTCATCTCATTAGCGCCCTTACTTTCAAAATGTTTTCACTTTTTTTCTCTCACAGCTCTTTTGTGAGATAATGAAGCAGGGAATATTTCCTCCATTTTAAGGGGACCCACAGAGGTTAAGTAAATTGCCAGGAAGGACATATTTACAGTGAAACTCCATATTATCAAAAGTTTGCTTTAAAATACAGCAAAAAAAAAAAGCAAAACAAACAAGATTGACCAGCAACCCTTTTTTTATGTTAATTTTAAAACAAATACATTTCTAAAATTACAGCGTTAGGTCAGCTTAAACACAGATTTGACTGCTCAGAACCTTTTTTCAGGTTCCCAATTCTGGGTTCCTTCCAAGAGATCATATTACCTTTGCCTATTAAATGGTACAGGTTATTGTTTCCTGAACCCTGGGAGTAGGGAGGATATTTGCAAGTCCCTCAGGTCTTGGGGATTCTTTTGCAAAGAAAGAAAGAACCACCTCTAAAGGCTTTGCACATAACATGGGTCATTTGGTCAATACAGAAACAGCTGTGCTTGCTATTCCAGCCCAAGCCTAGATAGCCGTTTTTGGCCTAAAAGGACAAGCTGGCACACTGACAAGAGTAAATTCAAGCTCTCTATATTATTTATCAAAAAAGCCGTGTAGGCAGGTTATGGTTTTAGTCCTAGCAAATGAACAGAACTCACTGTTTTGCTCAATGCCTTTTAAATCAGTTAGAGACCCCTGGAATCTAAAGGTGTACCCAAAGCAGAAATAAGAGGTTGCACAAGAATGAGGCCCAAAAGACTGTCAGGTTACACAGAGAGATGGGAAAATAACAGGCTTTAGCGCACGTGGCAGGTTGCCTGTCCAACTTCCTACTCTGAGCTACAAGGCTGAAGTGTGTTAAACATAGTCCAATCTTATCTTTTTTTTCTCCAGGATTTTATAAATACACAAACATAAATAGAAAAAAAAACAGACAGGGAGAGACTGGGTACAAGGAAGTGGATCTTTTAACAGACATTCAAAGGATGAATTTTCTATTCATCAAAAATATGAGGCTTTTAAAATGCTTAATTACTTCATCAATTTTCTGAATGAGTTAGTGCTCTAGAATCCTCCAAATGTGATGCAGGTGGTTTTGACTTCTTCTTCCTTTAGTTTATTATTATGAAAGCGTAGAATATTTGATGAGTTTCAATCCATTGCAGTCATTACTCTTTTTAATGCTCAAATTATCCCTTTTTTGGCCAGTGGGAGCCCCTTCAGATCAGCCCTATGTCTTTTCACACCATCAAACACCTAGTTTCCTTCATTTCTGGTATGACAGACTAGACCAGGTTCATCTTGTACATTTCCTGCTCCAAGCACACAATCAATACTCTCTCTAAGAAACAGAATTTAGAGACCATAATCTGCATGATAAGGATGCTAATTGCTAATAGATTGTCACTGCTTCCAGGTCTTTTCAATGAACAGAGCTATAAAACACATACCTTTTAGAAAAAAAGTGTCACGAGTTTACATTAATGTTTATGATTCACATTTAAGATTACAGCATTTTAATTAAATCCTTTCATTTCATACTCGTATGTTTTCTCTCTTATCCTGAGAATGTTGGCTCCTAATGACACTACATAATCTTTGCTTTATTTGAATATACACTTCAAAATAAAACCAATATTATTAACAAAAACATGAACTCAATTTAAGATTTTTTTGTGTGTTTTATTAATTCTTTAGGCTATCTTCTAGGGATAGTAAAAATATTATATTTTAAAGTCATTCTAAGTATTTATGTCATCAACATGATATAGTTATTTCAGCATGTTGATTTTTAAATTTTATTTAACTTAGGTAAATTATTTACAAGACTCCAAAATCAAAACTATAAAATAAGGTACATTTAGAGAGGTCTAGCTTCCATCTATAATCTCTCTTTCCCTGTATATGTAGCCATTCTCATTGGTTTTTGTTTTGATCTTCCATTGTTTCTTTGTGAAAACATAAGCAAACATATTTTATACATCTTTATATTTTCCCCCTTTATATGGCACACTACACAAACTACTCTGTACCTTGATTTTTTTAAAATTGAAATAGAGTTGATTTACAATGTTATATTACTTTCTTGTATACAGAATATTGATTCAGTTATACATATATATATTCTTTTTCATTATAGGTTATTACAAGCTATTAGATATAAGCCTGTGCTATACAGTAGGACCTTATTATTTATCTATTTTATACAAAGTAGTTTATATCTGCTAATTCCAAACTCCTAATTTATCCCTCTCTCTCTTCCCCTTTGGTAACCTTAAGTTTGTTTTCTATGTCTGAGTCTGTTTCTGTTTTGTAAATAAGTTCATTTGTGTCATTTTTTTAGATTCCACAGATAAGTGACATCATATGATACTTGTCTTTGTCTGATTTACTTCACTTAGTATGATAATCTCTAGGTCCGTCCATATTGCTGCAAAAGGCATTATTTCATTCTTTTTTATGGCTGAGTAGTATTCCATTGTACGTACATATGTATGTATATGTGTGTGTGTACGTATGTGTATATACACATACCATATTTTGTCTATCCAATCATCTATTGATGGACATTTAGGTTACTTCCATGTCTACTATAAACAACACTGCTGTGAACACTGGGGTGAGTGCATCTTTTCAAATTAGAGTTTTCTTCAGATATATGCCCAGGAGTGGGATTGCTGGATCATAAGGTAACTCTATTTTTAGTTTTTTAAGGAATCTCCTTGCTGTTTTTCACAGTGGCTGCACCAAATTACACTGCCACCAACAGTGTAGGGGGGTCCCCTTTTCTTCACACTCTCTCCAGCATTTAACATTTGTGGACTTTTAAATGATGGCTATTCTGATGGATGTGAGGTGATAACTCATTGTAGTTTTGATTTGCATTTCTCTAATAATGAGTGATATTGAGCATCTTTTCATGTGTCTATTGGGCACCTGGATGTCTTCATTGGAGAAATGTCTGTTTAGGTCTTCTGCCTGGTTTTTTTTTTTTTATTGGCTTGTTTGTTTTTTTGTTACTGAGTTGTATGATTTCTATTTGTATATTCTGGAAGTTAAGCCCTTGGACATAAAAAGGAGGGGGTGTCACATGGTACCACTACTATCCCCAAATATATTCTACCCGTGTATATTTTTATTTAATTATAATGCATAGTTCTTCCTAAAGCTCTAAAATGGAATACAATAATAAATTATCAGTTTTATTTTACAAGAACTATGGATTAAAATCCTAGCATTTTAGAAAATTGTTTCTAAAATGCTAGGATTTTAATCCATATTTCTTATAAAATGACATTAATGTTTTAATATAAACACAGTGGTCTAACAACAAATTACAAGGTGTATTAAAATTAATTTTTTAAAAAGATGATGTTAAAGAAGAGAGAAGCAGCTTCCTCAAAAATGAAAAGTTTTGATTTGTTTTTTTCAATTAGAACAAGATGGCAAAAATGATGTAAATGGTTAGAGTTAAGTGAAGAATAATCTATGAAAAAGATGTTTTATTAGTTCTGTCACTAAAGTGGCCCAGCATTAGTATCCACCTGGCATCCATGTGGAATAGTCTGTTACGCACCTTAATGACCAGTTTAATACTATCCTCCACCAAAAGGAACTAGGACTTTTCTAATGGGTGAGAAGGAAGGTCTAAAATAGGCCTGTATTAACACAGCAGGCCTGAGATTACCTATCCTTAGCAGGCCTGCTTGCAAGGTTGGCGCCTGGCTGGCAAACAGTTTCCTATGCTGATATCAAACTTTCCTAAATGCTAAGAGTGCCTCACTGGGCCTAAACTGCTTGTACGAACAGTGTGCTTTATGCTGAGCATCCACTTTCCTTCTGGGAGTCTGGAACTTTGGTACATGCCAGATAGAGGGTGCCTACGTGACCAGCCTGGGCGCTGAGTCTCCAGTTAGCTTCTCTGGGAGACGACACTCTGCACGTGTTGTCATAACCCACTGCTGGAGGAATTAAAGTGTGTCCTTTGAGACTGTACTGAAAGGGAACTCTGGAAGCCTGCTTCTGGTTTCCTCCAGACTTTGCCCTGAGCACCTTTTATCTTTGCTGATTTCGCTTTGTATCCTTTTGCTGTAATAAATCTCAGCCCAGAGCATGACTGTATTCTTGTTCCTGCATGTCCTCCTGGCGAATTACCGAGCCTAGGAGTACTCTTGGAAACCCCAACACAGCCTGGAACATGTTTTTTCTTGTTTGTTTTTTTAAAATAAAACAAGTACTGAGGCAGTACTGGAAGGACATAGGAGTCACAGAAGATAGTTTAAAAGTCCTCTCACTTGTCAAGTTGACAATTTGAGTAACCAAAAGTAAACAATTAAATTAAATGAATAAAAAGTCATGAAAAACATAATTAAACCTGAAAGGGGGAAAATGTTAAGGGTTCTAAACATTAGACACATATGATTTTTTTAAAAATGCTATATATTGATCAGTCCAAGTTATATGAATCCTATCAAGTTCTGGTAAATATCTAGGTTGATAATCACCAATGCAAGCTAAAACTCTAAAGAATAAAACCAGAGTATTAAACAAATTCAATGCTTACACTGTTAAGTAAAAGTGTATTAAAGCATACAGGTTGACAACCCACAAATAGAGTCTTAAAAACCAAGGTGAAATAAACTGATAAGATGGTAGCTAAATGAAAGTTTCATATATCATTACAAAACCAAACTATTTACATCTTCTCCATTCATCCCCAAACAATAAAATGACACACTCTTTTTCTCACTGAGGACTATATCAGATAACTAATAAAGTTGACTAAGGAGCCATTTCCAATAATGAATCTTTCTGCAATTAAATAACCATATTTACTTGTGATACAACTTTAGACTCATTACTTATATCCATGATATAAAGATTAATAAAATTTATACTGTCACATTGCCTAAATATAAACCGCCTACATATTCTTAAATATAACGTGGCAAATATATACATTCCTCAAAACTCAGAGATGTTCACTTAAGATTTGAGCATTTCATTGTATATAAAATTTACATCAAAAGAAAAAATATGAACAAATGTTGAACTCTAGGTTAATGGCATTCATTTTGAACTAATTGGGGGAAATGTATTGATATCTGTACTGATTTTGAAATACGTGGAAAATAGGATGTATTGATGGATAGAGAGATACAGAGATAGATATGTGATAAGAAAGTAGGGTAAAATGTTAGTGACAGAAAGGTGATAGGTATCTAGATGTTCATTATAAAATTATTTCAACTTTTCTGATTGTTTGAAAATTTTCATAATCAAATGTTAGAAAAAAATAACAGTGTATGGGATGGGGGTGGGTTGTCAGAGAAGTTCATCTAACAGAGATGTCTGGAGGATGAATTTTCTGTGAGCTTTCTATCCAGCAAAGAACAAAAACTGTATGAGATTTTTCTGACAGCAGAGGTGGCACTGGAGAGAAATCACACAACTGAATGTTGGGCTAGCAGTCTTTCCCACACAGTATCAAGTAGCTGCCAATCAAAAAAACCAGGGAGAAATAATTAATGATAGCTGGCTTTGCCCAGCTGGATGTCATCAGGGTCTGCATCTCTGAGGGACCATGCAGACTCGCAGCCCCTAAGCACTTCTGAATAGCTGGGCATACATTTCCTCAATAGCCCTTAGATGTGTGGCACTGATGGGTGAAGGCCCTGGATGGGGTGATCTCTAAGCTCCATTTAAATGCCTGATGACCCATTCACAGTCTATTTAGAAGCCCAAGCCCTGCTTACCCCAGTTCTGAGCCATCATCTCTGACCAGGAAAGGGACACAAGGAATGGACAGTCTCTTCTCCCACTCACCTTCACTGGGGTCTGTGGGAATCTCACTTTCCTCTGGCCCGGCCTGGTTGCCTGTATTGTGGTCTCCTTCCGGCTGAATCTGAGATAAGACATCAGGCTGATTCATGGCATAATCTAGGAGAGGAAAAAGGGAAAGCAGTATGACAGAGAGTTAATGAGGATGACAACTAATTGCCATCAAAGCTGAACTGAAGGCTTTAAGATCCACAGTCCCAGGGAATTTCTTTCGGAGTCTAGATCACTTTCCCCATCCATTCACCTCGAACTATAGGTGGATCTTTTAGGAAACAAATAAGAGGAGAGGGGGTGTGTGGGAAAGGCACATGTGCTACTTGAGCATTGCCTGCCTGCTCTTTGACTGAGTGAGAGTGACAGGCTGCCTCGAGGAGGAGAGGCATGGCCTTTTCCAAGTGAAGGATACCATGGAAACCACTGCAGCTGAACCCTTAACTCTGAACTTCATTCTCTGTCCCATGATTTGGCAAGAGGAGAGACCATGATTTCCTATTTAGCCAGGGGTGAACTGGAAATCCCTGGCTTGGAACTAGAATCTGAAGTGTGTGAGGACAGAGTGCAAATGAGGACACTGGAAGAAAAGGGACTATTCTGAGACCTCTTGGACCTGCTGTCACCTCATTCAAAAGTGCCAGCTTAGCCTCACCCATGGAGATGAGAGACTCGTAGTTGCCCTTCATGATATTCTTGTAAAGTTCCTTTTGCCATTCTTCTAATTTTTCCCACTCTGGAGTGGAAAAGTAGATGGAAATATCATCAAATGTCACAGGCACCTGAAATTACAACATACTGGGGTTAGTTTCTGCCACTGCAATTCAATTATTCAATAAATTTCTACTAAGTGTCTACTAGTTATAAAAACCTATGAGAGATTCTGAAAGGATATGGGCAAAACTCAAGACACAGATCTAACCTCCAAGAGTTGAGCATGTTTTCACTGTGATAAACTTTGGGGCTATGAATTTTAGGAGGATGAAGGACATTGCTTGTGAACAGTCACTCAAAGAGGTAGGTACAGATACAAAGCAGTATTTAATTCACAGAACACAACATATTGTGAATATCCACCAAGTACAAGGCTTATCCTAAGCACCAAGATTATAAAAATATGATTTCTTCCTAAAAGGAGCATATGAGTATATTCAAATTAATGACATGGACAAGAAATTTTGGAACTAGAGCTATAATGAGGCTGGGATGAGTCTAGAAGAGACTTTAGCTAGTCCTAAAAGAGGGGTAGGTTATAAATAGGCCTAATGGGAAGGGGAAAAACATTTAAGCATGGAAAACTGGAGAATGTATTCAGAGAACAATTATGGATTCTGCCTAGTTGGAGTCAAGGTTTCATGTAGAGAATGGTCATATACAGAAGAGAGTCCCCCCACCTTCCAGCATAGTTTTGTCTAAAGCTAGGAGCTTATCCATAGACAAAAACTGGAATGTTCTCCTGTAAAGAAATACAAAGGGGAGGTAAGATACCAAGTATGGGCACTATCCATTAGTGTAAAGCTTTTCTCAGTCTGCCATCATCATAAAGGCAAGCTCTTCCTTCTCTCACCGACAGCTTTCTACAGTTTTATTCTTAAATATGAGCTAACTTCCAAGTATCAATGCCCATTTAGAGAAGTCCTGCTGCATGATCAAGAAAGACTAAAAGGCGGAAAAAATGACTTTTGTGGAAAAGAACAAAAATACCTAGGCAACAGAATTTTTTTTCAAAAAAACCTTAATTAGTAATCCCATTAAGATTTGAGAGATATTAAACCCATAAAATAAAAATAGGAAGCTATAGAGAAAGGAAAACCAGAATGAGGGAGACTCCTGGTAATACATATACACACACACATATACATACATACATATACACATACATACACATACACATACATTTGCTTTCTTCCCCAAAATTAAAAAATTCAATAAAAAGATACTCATGTTCATAAACTTAACATATCCTTTAAAATTCAAAGTCTATACATTTCCATGAGACAATTAACTTTCTAATTGCTTCATTTGTGTCATCTTTTTTTCCCTAACCAGAAATTTTGTTCCTTAGGAGCTAGACCCATAAATTACTCATTTTACATCCTGTTCAGCATCTACAATTAAGTTAAGGCATATGTAAATACTTGCTAGTTAACTTTTATCTAACACAAAAGATTTGTGATACAACAGAAACACGTATGATAAAATAATTATTAAAACAAGGATCAAGATGGGCTTCTTGTTCAAGACTGTGAACTAAACACAGCCGCACTTCCCTCCCCACCCAGGTTCCCACTGAAATGACAGTAAATGAGATCAGGAGGGACTGAGTAACAGCACCAGGAATGAGAGGAGAGGCCATCATTAGATCAGAATTTCTGATGAATGTCTCACAGAGACCTAGGGGACGTGCCTGTGCTGGGGTCTAAGGTATGAGGAAGCTGCTTCTCTGACAATACACGGGGAAGGACTGCAGTAAGGAATCCAGAGAATTCCAAGCTCAAAGCTGCCAGAGACACTGAGTAGGAGTAAAAGTGGTTAGAAACTGCAGTTTGGAGGTCTATCTTTGAAATATCAGGGGCCCTCTCCCTTGTCCTCATCAGCCCTGGTAAAGCAGCAATAACCCCAAAGCCAAAACCCAGACCTCATCTCTAAAGAAACTTAAAAGGCTGCCTGGAGACAGCATGGGATCCCTGTGTGGTGCTAACAACTTAGACTACCGCCTTACTCCTGGCCTCTGGTGGTCCCTGCACTGCCTGTTTGCTCCTTGCACAGCACCTGAAGGTGAAGCCCACCTATATGGAGCACCTATGGAGAGATCCTCTCCTGCAAAGGAGAGCTCCCTGGGTTAAACAGACTTCCACGGTGGCAGAGAAAACATGCCAGCTTCCTCTAATTAACCTGTTCATCAAATTCTTCACTTATAAATACAAACAACCAACCAAGGACTACTCAACATTAAAAAAATAAAACTGACAGCATCAAGATGAACACACACTACAAACAATCCTAAAGGATAAAAAAAAATCAAACAAAGCTCTAATACATATTCTCATATGCATTCAAGTAGATATTGCATCCATTCAAAAAAAAAATTCAGGCTTCTTTAAAAAAGGAGAAAATAAATATTCTTGAAAAGTAAGTACATAATTGTTAAAATAAAAATCAGAAAAGTTGGAAGGAAAGGTTACAGAACTCTAGTTAAAAAGGTGAAAATGTGAAGGAAAAGTTAAAGAGAGAAAGACAATAATCCACCATCAGTCAAACAGTAAGTCTAGAAAGAGAACTGAAAAAAATGTGGAAGAGTGAATGAAAAATTATAAAAACAGAATCATAGAAGAAAATTTCCCAGAGTGGAAAAGACATCAATCTTCTGATTGAAAGGCCATACCAGATGCCCAACAAAAATTTTAAAAGAACTACACCCAGACATATACTCAACAAATTTTAGAAGAACAAGTACAAATAGATGATAAAGGTTTCCAGAAAGAAAAAAGAAGATTTCTTACAAACAAATGAGAATTGATTTGGCATTAAATTTTTCATCAATGGCATTTGATATTATGAGACAAAGAACTAAGGCCTTTAAAATTGTGAGAGAAATGGAGTATCACTCAGCCTTAAAAAAGGGAGGAAATTCAGGCACCTGCTCCAACACGGATGAACCTGGAAGACATTATGCTCAGTGAAATAAGCACATCACAAGAGGACAGGCACTGTATGATCTCACCTATATGAGGACCTGGGGGAGTCAGATGCACAGAAACAGAAAGCAGAGTGGTGTCTGCCAGGGGCCGGGGGAGCAGGAGGGGGAGTTGCTGTTTAATGGGGACAGTTTCAGTGCGAGAAGTTCTGGAGATGGACGGTGCTGATGGCTGCACAACAGTATGAATGTACTTAATGCCACTGAACTGTACACTTGAAATTGTTAACATTTTCTGTTTTTCCTCCTCCCACACCCCTAATGTGGTAACTTTTATGCTACTTATATTTTATAATTTAAAAAATTAAAATTAAAATTCTGAGGGAAAATTATTTTGAACTTGGCCTTCAAAAGTGTGGGCAGAATAAGAGCATTTTCAACAGAAGCAAGGACACAGAAGTTTCCTTGTGGCCCACATTTCAATATATTTTAATTTCATGAAGAAATCTTTGAGAGAAATCACATTATTTTAAACATGATTTGGGAGCTTAAGATGGACAGGCTAAATGTTATCCATTTATCCAGGTAAGACAGTAACTGTAACTTACTTTTTCTGCTATTCTTACAGCAAATACTTAGTTTAAATTACCCCAGAGAACTGGAGGCACTCAGGGTATGCAAACAAAACACACTGTGGGGAAGGGTCTCTCTTCAATGCTGACGCTGGTCCCTCCCGGGCACCTCCTCATCCCTGCCCCTCTCCTCTGCCTGCCTGGGAAGAGTCTCCATTTCCTCTCCCTGCTCACTCTTCAGCGGCTCCGCTGTCTGCTGTCCCCGCCACGGCATGGAAACAGCTCTTGCAAGGTCACCAGCCAGCTTATGTTGCCAAGTTGTACTCACAGTGCTCATCTTTCTAGATCTCTCGGTAACATATCAACCCAAATGACCACTGTCACCTTGACCCTGTGACCCTACACACTTGCTGGCCTCCACTCCCACCCCTGGGGGCTTGGTCCTTGTACCCCTTCTCTTGCTTCTCCACATTCTCTCCCAAGGTAATCTCTGTCTGCCTTATGACTTACGGTACAATCTGCAAGTCAGCAATTCCCAAATATTTCTCACTTTTGAGCTTCAGAGACCACTTAACATCTCTCCTGAAGGTATCCAAGCCATCTCTAGCTGACACTGCCAAAGAACTCCTGACTCCTTCCCACCCCAAAGCACTCGGAAATGCCAGTGCCATCCACCCAGTCCTTGGTTAAGAGCATATGCTCTGGGGCCAACCTGGTCACAGTACAACTCTGTCATTTATATTTACTGACTGTACGACCTTGGGCAAGTTAGAGTTCTTATGACAGTAACTAAAGCATTTACAACAACAGTAAGTGCTATGTAAATTATCACACAGTAAATTCACAACTATTGATGTTCTTAATTCGTCATTACTTATTTCTCGTCAACTAAGTTCTATCATCAACTCTACTATCAAAACATCCCAAATCTGTCCACTCGTCTCCATCTCCACTGCTGCTACCCTCACCCAAACCGCTCTCGGCCCTCCTACTATTACAGCTGCCTTACTGTTTTCTCCTTGCTTCTTTCTTACCCACAGCTGTCACATACCTCTCCCTCAGCTGGCCTTTAAAACTGCTCAGCTGAAACCCTTCAGGGAATTTGAGATTTGGGGGCATGAGCCACCCATTCTCCCTGCTCGGCCCTGCAATAAACCTTTCTCTGCTAAAAAAAAAAAAAAAAAAAAAAAAAAAGAAGGAAAAAAAAGATCCATTCTCCACATAGCAGCCAAAGTGATTCTTTCAAAATATAAACCAGATATAACTCCTCTGTTTAAAACTCTCCAATCTTCCCATTATTCTTCAGATAAATTCCTACCTTGGTCTCCGATGCCCTACATCAGTGGTTCATAACCCTGTCACATATTAGAATCATCTATGGATTTTTAAGATGAATGATTAGGCCCCATCCTGAACCTGTTAAGTCAGAACCTCCAGGTGTGATGCCTACCAAAATGTAAAAAGCCCTCCAGGTGATTCCTAGGTACAGCCAAGGCTGAGAAACATTGCCCTAAATGAGCTGCCCCCTGCTTCTCCAGTCATGCTCCAACTTGTTCACTGCATACCAGCTAACGGGTCTTTCCCCTTTCCCTCGGTGTTCCAAGTCTGTTTGTGCCTTTGGGACTTTGCACCAGGTTTTCTTTCTGCCTGGAAAGCTCTTCCTCAGCTCTCCTCACAGCAGGGTTCTTCATTTATTTTCACCCTAAATATATTAGCTCCTTTATGAGACCTTCTCTGACATCCAATCTAAATCACCAGACAGCAATTTTATTTTTATCAAGACACTTAAATGGGTTAATTTTCTTGTTTATTATCTTTCCCCCTAAAATTTTGACCTCCAGGGGAGCTGACATGAATTGTTCACTGCTGTGCCTTCAGGTAGAAGATATTAAGCAAATAGTAAGGGTTCAAGAAGTATTTCTTGAATGAATGAATAAATAAATGGGCATGTTTGGAGACCAGCTGCCTCGAGGCTATCTTCCATAGCTCAAGAATGATGTTTATTTCCTGTTGGTTTATGGACTGTTCCCTTCCAAAGGCCTGGCCCTGGTGCCACATCACTCTGTAAAGGATGCTAAGGGACAGGATCTACGGCCACCCTAGACCCACAGGTGGCCCCAAATCCTTACATTAACCATTGACTCTACATCCCTGCCCCGTCCACCCTCATTTTTTTTAAAACCAGAATTGCCAACAAATTCAAATTGACTGATTTAAATGATATTTGATTTAGTTTCCAACCAAGATTGTGGCATACAGGTTAACAAAGAAAAAACTGACTTGGGGGTAAGGGGTAGGAGAAAGCAAGAGAAAAAATCCTCCATCTGCCGGACAGCCAACTTTGGACTGGAAAGGGTTTTCCCATCTGGAGTTTGACACTTCAGATGATCACTAAATTGAACATGGAATGCTTCCCAAACAGATAAACACAAAGCCACTTCATGGTTCCTTCAGCCTAACTGATTGACCAAGACTCATTGACCTTTACTAACAGTCTGCAGACTAGTGGTACCACTTCACATCTAGACGTGAAGGCATTACCTTTGGCATATCTCCTTTAATACTGGGGGGCAGCCGCAGGATCCAGAAGTTCCTGTTCCGCAGCAGGTTCTCCAAGTTCTCCAGCCGCCTCTGCAGCAGCCCGTACTCCTGCAGCAGGGTGCCCAGCACGGCCCACTTGCCCTCCAGCTGGTTCCCAAGATCAGCCACCGTCTTTTCACAACTGGCTAGCTTCTTCTCTGCCGTCCCTGTCCGTCCCTCCAGGTGCAGGAGTCGCCGGCTGTGGACCTCCACCTTTCTCTCTATGGCCTGCACGGCCGCCACCACTGTCCACAGGGAGATGGCTGCAGTCTGCAGATGTGCTTCGTTTGCTGCTGGGGGTGTGGGTAGAGGAAGTGCCTGCAGGGATGTAAGGCATTCGGAGTCCCATTCGGAAGTCTGTGTGCAGTGGAGAGATGAAACAAGACACTGAGTGTTAGGAGGAGCCCTAATCCAAACTAAAATCAGATAAGGGCTGCTTAACTGGCCAGCTGAGATTAATCTAAATATAGTTTTTTACTGCCAGCATAAGCCTCATCTCTATGGAGCTCACTGGCATCAAAAGCCAAGAGAACGGCTTTGTCGGTTCAGGGACGGATTAGGTAAGACAGTGAATAAGTGAAACTGGATCAAGCAGCAGCCTGGCATATTCCCTGGGATGTAAGGCCCTCGAGCCAATCACCCAGAGGCTCAGGTTGCTGCCGCATCCTCTATCTCTGCAGAAGGCCTCAGTGCACCAGGACCTTTCCAGGTTTCACTGAGCTCAGTGCCCTCAGATAAACCTCCCATTGACTTAGGCTCTGGCCCCTGTCTATCACCCTGCTGACAAATCACAGCCATTCCATTCAGTGATACATGAATAAGCTGAGAATGTTGAGTCTGGAGAAAACCTGATGGTTACTTTCAAATATCTGAGGGCTATAAAACAAGGCAGAATAGACTTGTTTAATCCTATACTTACCCCAGAGGGCAGAACTAGAACCAATGTGGAAATTTCAGGTATGCAAACTTTGGCCTATATAAATAATTTTTGAACTAGATCTTTCCAAGAAAATAACAGGCTGCCCCATCACTGAACATACTTGGAAACAGAGTGTATAAAAAAATGAAATTCTACAACAAATAGGAGGTTGGATGAAGATGACCTCGACAAAGCCTTCTGACTCTATGAATTCAATAACCTGCTCTCTGGCCACGGCCTCCCATCTCCCTGCCTTCCCACCACCTTATTTTCAGTCTGTCTGCTCAGCAATCCTGCTGAACCCTTGGCCATTCCATCTGCTCCTGGTTTATCAGCCTTCTCCAGGCTTTTGCTTTCCTCCTCAGCTGATCATCTCAGCCAATTTCAACCTCTTCACTCATGCCTTTCTGCCTCACCTGCTTGGCTACCTTCCAGCTTTAAATCGGTTCAACTGTTCTCATTCTCTGCAAGCAGGCTAGTAAGCCATACTAAATGAAGTCACACAGCCGGATAAACTGATGTCACCACATACCCATGGTCTCTAAGCTCAGCAGGGACTCAACATTGCTGCCCACCCCCCCCTTCTTTTCCCATTCCATGGAGTGGCCACTCTGAGGTCCGGCACCTCCTTCAACTTTCAGTACAGCACTTCTCAAACTAGCATACATAAGCCTCATCCTGAGACCTCATTTAAGTGCAGACTTTGATTCAGTAGGTCTGAGAGGAAAACTGAGATCCTGCGTTTTTAGCAAGCTCCCCAGTGATGCTGATACTGCTGGTTCTGGAGCTCCCACTGAACAGTAAGGCTCTTGTCTGCTGCAGGCCCCTCACTCGCAGGAGATGACCTGGCCTCCTCCTAAGAAAACTGGCTCTCTCAACTTTCCCTTCTCTTTCTTCATACTCCTTCCCAATTTGAACTCATCAGTAATATAGTCCATGCTTTCTTCTTTCTTTCTCTCAAGAAAAAGTTTCATCCTATTTAAAACTAATCTCTCCACTTTATGCTCTGAATGCCAACTCTGTCCACATTTCTAGGTACATTGTTCTTTTCTCCTTTTTATGGTCAACATTTCAACTTCTCCTGATTCTTCTCCATAAGATACACCTGCACTCTTCAATGTGGTAGCGACTTGTGGCTACTGAACACTTGGAACGTGGTTATTTCAACTGGGATGTGTTGTGCGTATAAAATACATACCAGATTTCTGAAGACTAAGTATGGAGAGAAAATGTAAAATTTCACTGATAATTTAATACTGATTACACACTGAGATATTTTGTATGCAATGGGTTAAATAAAATATATCATGAAAGTTAATTTCATCTATTGCTCTTTACTTTCAAATGTGACTACCATAAAATTTAAGGTTATGTATATGGCTTCCATTATATTTCTCTTGGACAGAGCTGGCATAGACACATGATCGTCTCTACCAAACTGAAAAACAAGATGGAAAGGGAAAAATAGGTCTGCCGGCAGAGATGGCAGAATCCTCGACACTACTCCCCAGACCACTGCAGCTGCGCCCTCTTTTCCCTCCTCTTCCTCCTCCTCTCACTTTCCAGTCACTACTCCGGACCACTACTATGGCTCTCCTTGGGGTGAGCAAAGGCTTCTCAGTTGACAAATCCAAGGCATCCTTTTCCGTCCTGTTGCTTGACTAGTCCCTGCTGGTTCCGCATGGGTCTTGTGTGCAGGGACTGTCTCGGTCAGCTCTGCAGGCTTAGCAGCGGATAGAGGGGCTTGGCACACTGCAGGCCTGCAGTAAACATCCGCTGAATGAATAAACACACAGAAGGTAATCCAGGCCTCGGAACCTGCACCAGGCATTCACGGAGCAATCCTGATGGAGGGCCTTCTGTGTGTCCCGCATCGTCATGGGCTGGACACTGGGGATCCCTGTTCTCCCGCAGTCCTTCCACGCACTGCCGTCACCACCGCATCTGTGACCGTGCGAGGCTCAGGTGGGACTGCAGCTAGGGTGATTTTGTGAGGTCTGCTCCCAGGGCCGGAGAATAGCTGGTGAAAGCACCAAACCAAGCCAAACCCACTGCCCCGCGTCTGGCAGGCTGGAGCGGGGTTGACACCAGGCGGGAGGACCGCCTCTTCTCTCGCTCCTCTTTCACTGGCCTAAGAGGCTCCCTCCGTTAGAAACCTCCAAATGTAATGGGAAGCCGGGG